GGATGTAATGGTACCCTAATAAAGGATACGAATATGTAATTCATACAGTGGTTTACCAAAGTTTATTTGTGGTGTACCACAAGACTGTGTGCTTGGTCTTAGACCTTTGGATTAATAAAAATAATATATAGTATAGTAATCTATCAAATAGTCTGTAAAACTATAATAAAAGGTTATTTTGAAATAAAGAAATGACAAAGTTAAAAAAAAATTTTTTATGAATGTTTAAAAAAAAAAAGGAAAGGTCAAGACATGAAAACACTTTTACTTACAATGTACATTCTAACAAAATGGAACATAACCAGGTGGTAAACAAATATAAAATAAATTTTATATTCAAGTTAGTTATTGTAAATCTAAAAGATGGGGAACAATAATTTCTGTATTTGCCATTTAACCTAATATACTGTATGGTTGATTACATTTCTTCTGCAATTGTTAATGCTGACTGAATTGATTGCATCACATAATTATTCTCTCAGGATGTTAAAGTGTACATTGGTCAGCGACGGACTGCGCTGCTCCGTGTTGCTCCCCAGATGAGAACAGCCAAGACGCTTGAGCAGCTGCTGCATCACCTGCAGCCACACATCAAACAGGTACTGAGAGTGATGTCATTCAGCTATGCTGACATCACTGCTGCCCTCAGCGACAGAGTCCGTTTCCACCCAGGCAACAAAGAGAGCATTGCAGACAGTATGAGAGCCTTCAAATCCAGTCCAGGTTGGTTATTTTTGTCAGAAGTTGCCTCAGTGTAATTTATCCTATGGGCTGTGTGTGTTAACGCTTCCCTTCTGTTCTCTGTTTATTCTTTTAGGCTATGAGATAACATTCAGCTTGTTAAACCCCGACCCGAAGTCTCACCGGCTGCACTGGGACATCGAGGGTGCTGCGCAGACCTACATACAGCCTTTACTTACCAAAATGTCCCCGGTGGCTAATTTTAGCATTGACTCTCAGGTACTTGTGTTGGCAGTGTACTGTGTCCTTTCTCACATTGTAAGCGAAAACCCTAACCCACTTTATTGTGGCACATCAGCAGGGAATAGCGCATAACTGTGAACTGGAAAAATGGATGCATGGTCTTGAACATTTTTACAAATCTGAAATGTTTGATGTGCTTCTGTAGCAGCCCACATTAATCCGATGCCCCTAAAAACATCCAGTGCAAACAAACACCTTAATGGAACTAAAATTGACATGTTCAAATATATCAACACTTTCTCTTGGTACCCCTTGTCTCATCAAAGTGCAAGACAAAACTTATGCAAATGCTCAGTTTTTGTACCCTCAATTTTACAGACCTTGCATTATGCCATGCTGGGTGTCAACCCACGCTTTGATAACACCCGCAGCGCCTACATGCTCAACGCCGACAGCCTCGCACATGTTATCAACCCAGTGGAGGCCAGACTTGGTAAAAAAAAAAATTAAAAATTACAAAAGATAAAACACAAAATGAATATAATGTGATTTGTCTTATTAACATGTATATGTGTATACATTTTTTATTTTTCAGGCTCTAATGCAGCATCTTCCAACCCAGTGTTGAATTTTCTTCTATATGTTCCTGATGCCTACCATTCACCTCTTTACATCCAAGATCAAAACAAGCAGAAAGTGCCCTCCAACGCATTTCACTCTCCACGCTGGGGTGGGATTATGGTAAGATCACAGGATTATACCTGACAATTTAAAAAATGTGTAATGGATATTAAGTATTACATATGGGCACTTTCAACTTTAAAATTTTGACAATACTTGGTCATCCTGTGATTATCAGAAAAGAATCAAAAAAGCTACATTGCTGTTTATCAGCATAGGGTTAGTTACATAATGTAACCGTGGCATATAGGCCATGTTGACGGAATAGTCAAGGTAAATTAATACTGTTTTGTGTTTTTTTTTGTGTGTGTGCATTATTTACTAGTTGTGTCGCAGTTTTGACATGGTTGCGGAGGGGGTCAGTATCGCTCCGCTGTTGCTAGGAGACGACGGTTGTGGAAAGGATGTTTTCTCTTTTTCTAATGTGTAGCAATACTGCTTTACTTTGTAACAGTTATTAGATTAAAATGTTGCGGGCTTAATCACAACATCTCGCTTGATTGTTTGCCACTGTTGCATAACAATATAATAAAATAGCCTGTTTTGTAATATATATGTTTTATTTTAGAAAAATATTTTGTCAAAAACACCATGAAATCAATAAATGCCAGCAAATATTGTGCTAAAATCCATTTTACCCAACTTGTATTGGTTTTCATTTGTACACAGTTAGCATTGATGTTCCCTTCTTTTTGTAAGCACATCTTTCATAATCAAATTATCTTTTGAGACAAGTAGGAGGGTTTTCTAGCATGAACATTCTGTAACTGAATGTTACAGAATCTCATAATTCAACATCTCAATTCGACTGAAGTCCAGACTTTGGCAAAGCCACTCCAAATCTTTTATTTTTCCTTCTTCAGAGGTGAACTTGGTGTGCTTTGGGTTTTGCTACATAGCCCAAGTTTGCTTGATCTTAAGGTCACAACCTGATGGTTGGACTTTTCTCTTATAAAATTTCACTAAATTGTTCACATAAGGCCCCGTTCCTTGTGTTAATTCAAATGTTACCGTTCTGACCTATAAATGTGTTTTGAACTGTCTCGATGAAAATATTTCCTTGTTTTCAGGTGTATAATGTAGACAGTTACTATGGGCCAGAGGCAGAGTTCCCTGTTGACATAAACATCAACATGGCTAAAGTCATGGGCGTCTTCCTCGCACAGCTTCGGTAAGTCTCAACCTACGTCATTTGAGTTTATTTTTTATGAACAAATTCTTCTGGCTTTTGCTTTTTTCTTACACTTAAATAAATGTGAAGATTAGAGAAAAATGAGTAAATATAAAATTACGTTTTTAAATAGTGATTTCATTCTGTATGAGAAAAAAGCTTTCCCATCTGGCATTATATGGAAAAATAAATGTTCACAGCACAGCACTGTTTATACCAGGTAATTTTTCAGAGTTTTTTTCCTCTGTCAGACTTTTGCTGGGTGTGCAGTCATCACCCCCTCCGCCCGGCTTCCTGGTGGCACCCTGTGGTAGAACCGGACTTGCTGACTGGGAGCTGGACCGTCTCATGTGGAGTCGCTCAGTGGAAAACATAGCCACAGCGACCACAACAATCACCTCACTTGCACAGCTGCTAGACCAAATAGGCAACATTGTTATTAATGACAACATTGCTGAACAGGTAAAGTATACATAAAATCATTAATAAGACTTAATAAGACTGATGATGATATTTCCTTAAAACAAAAGCTATGAATATTTGTCATCATAATGAGATGATGTGTGTAGAGTTTTGATGGAATAAGGCTGTAACATGAAAAAATGTGGAGAGTGTTGTGTCTACTGCATATAACTTCTGGATGATGAAATAAAATCTGTTGCACTCAATTTTATTTAGTTATCAGAGTAAAGGAGTACAAAGTGGTGAAAACCATGCATGATTTTCCTTCCATGTCATAATTTGATCATTATTAAATCCTAATTAAGATATGTTGAGATTTGAGGTTGTGACATAACAAAAGGGAAAATGTTGTGGGGATTTAAATACTTTAGCATTACAAGTCATCTTTCTTTTAATTGCATATTTCCTAATCCATTATTTCTGTCGCTGTCTGCCAGGTGTCCAGCGCTGTGACGTCTCTGCAGCTGGCTGTTGCAGAGCTGGAGGCTGGAAACCTCAAATTTGCCCTGCAGTTCAGTAAAGAAGCCATCCTGGCTTCAGAGAAAGCCTTCTTTGACCCCTCTCTGCTCCATCTCCTCTACTTTCCTGATGACCAGAAGTTTGCTATCTACATACCTCTCTTCCTGCCGATGTGTGTGCCTATTCTTCTGTCTCTGATCAAAATAGCTTCTGAGGCTAGACAGAAACGTAGGGAAAAGCAAGTTAAAAAGGACTGACACGTAAAGGTGTTATGGATAAACTGTTTTGTTGTTGGCTTTGACATTTGGATGCAATGGGGGCATAAAGAAAGGCTTTTATACAGTGTTGTTTGGGGATATTGTTCTGTTTGAAATTAGGATGGGTATGTGTTTAAAGTTTTTATTAAATGACTACTGGAACTGTAGCTGTACGGTTGAAAGCTTGAATTAGTGTAAATGTGTAAAAACTTATATATATGAACTCCACTTTCTTTTGTAAATTAAGAATTAAATACTAAAGCTCTAATTCACATTTTAGACATTTTTTATCTGCACTTTTGCACACAACTTTTTCAATTAAACTTTTTTATCAAACATTTTATGTTTTCAGTAGCTCTAAGCAAAAAACAAAAAAACATGAAAAATATGACAAGTTATGAAAACACTAAAGTTGCAGTGACCTAAATAATAAAATACAAATATTTTGTTTTCCCAAATCAAAAAAACTTCTTGTACTCAGGTCTCAGTAATTATTTAATAGTGCCTTCAGCTCACCTTAGTTGTAGGGTGTGATCTTGCTCATCCCTGCCAAACATTATGCATTGCAATACTGCCAAGGCTGTAGTTGTCCTTTTTACCAGTACACTTTTATATTATCTTGTGCAACATTAAAATTTTCAGAGAAACAATTTTGATTTTATTTAGAAGTAAGCCACACAACCATAAAAATTAACAGAAATAAAGGTTAAAATGCATTTGTTTGTGTATAAGCATATTTAGCTTAACTTGAATCACTTAAAGTTTGTCATGCTGCTATCAACTATTAGCACTACAGTAAATTTAGTCAGCTGTATTTTAAGACAACATAATTTGTAACTAATGGATCTTACATAAAATCTTTGTTTTTAGCATAACTATATGTTAAAGAAAACAAAGTTGCATCTAGTTTCTGCAAATGACTGAATTAAAAACAAAGAAGCTCTGCTTCAAAAAGTATTTAGTATTTTTGATAAAGACAAAGCTCAAAAAACCCATTGTACTACAGTAGTAATACGGAAGTATAGTAGGCGAGCCGTTGCTTCTTAACCAATGCTAAAGGTGATTACGTGAACTAGCGTCACTACCTGGCGCTAAGTTCGCCATTAAAGTTAGAGCGGATTTAGCAGCCGACAACAGAACAGTGTCGCAGCATTTCCCTGTTCGTTTTCACCCGAAGTTTCCCGCCTCTGTTATGAGATAGCTCTGCCGTAGCCTTTTGTTCACTAGCTCTTAGTCCGTTTGCGGTACGGTTAGCTTATTTTGCGCTAACATGTCCGGAGGATTCGCTCGAGGACCCTCGGGAAGCAACGATTGTCGGATATATGTGGGAAATCTTCCCCCAGACATCCGCTCCAAAGACGTCGAAGACTTATTTTATAAATACGGGTCTGTGCGTGATATTGACCTGAAGAACCGCAGAGGAGGACCGCCGTTTGCTTTCGTTCAGTTCGAGGATCCGAGGTAAGCATTACATCCTGGTTAGCGTTATCGCCACTGTTAGCCAGATGCTACACCCAAAGTTGTTTTAATCTTCCCTGATACAAATGTTCATTTACCGCCAGCTGCTAGTTTTGGCCATAAGTCTAAGCTATGTTTTGACCCACTTTTACATTCGTCTCATAGTTATATTTTCATTCTGTTGTGAGCGAGGTGTTCGGTTGCCTACATGTGGTAGGAGTGAGGCCTACTTCACAAAACATGCTCTAAAGGGCACCTAAATACAAGTTGTCATGGTTACAAATAAACCTTCCTTGTGCTTCACTTCTTTTTGGTATGTGATAATAATCTGAGTTTTTTTTTCAGTATTTATCTTATGTGACCCTTAAATAGTTGCTTTTTCGATATATCTGCAAAGTGGCCCTAGCTTTTAAAAGGCGAGACCTTCTACACACCAATCACGTGGAAAAAAATATACAACAGGCTGTGTGTGTGTGTTTTTCTTCTTCTTCCCTTTACATTTTCGGGAGATTAACATTTTTCATACGAGGTTTAGACATGCTCTCCTTCCTAAGCAGAAAAAAAATGATTTTTTTTATGTTCTGTTAAAAGTGACTTTTTTGTGTGAGAAATAAATTATGACCTCACCTCCTCTATAAAGTGAACAACCAGGATGGAGATTAAATTTTCTTTAATCTCTAATTAAAGAACATTTCCAACAATATCAACTATTCCACTGAACAGAAAGACGGAGGTCATTAAACTTCCAACATGAACAAGTTTGGATATCTCAGCAACGCCCCTTAACAGCAGGCAGCAGTATGCTAAAATAAGTCTCCAAAATTTATATAATGTCATGACAGGACTTACAGGAGACTCCTGCTGCTGTTAATATAAAAGTTCATATGTGCACAAGCAGAAAAAGCCTCCACATGCATAACTTTACTTGGATTTGTTCAAAGAATAACCTTTTATTTTCTTAAAAAATACTACTTTATTGTGTTGCATATGTCAAATCTCTTCATTGTTGTCTACAGATCAGTGGCGACAGCTACCTCTGCTTTAAATGGCTGTAAACTTTTACTTTTTAAAATTTAATGAGTACGTAAACTTACTGGGAGAATACTTTAACAGTGATGCTTTCACAGTAATTCAGATCTGTTGATGTCAAGATCCTCCAGTTGTTGTACTTTTTTGTAGTTACTGATTGCAAAATAAAAAATTTGCAGGGACGCTGAGGATGCTGTGTACGGGCGAGATGGTTATGATTACGATGGCTATCGACTGCGTGTGGAGTTCCCAAGAAGTGGAAGGGGTGGCGGAGGAGGAGGAGGTGGTGGAGGCGGAGGCATGGGGCCATCGAGGAACCGGTACGGTCCTCCATCCCGACGCTCCGAAAACAGAGTGGTTGTGTCAGGTGAGTAATGCCTTCCTCTTTTCTGTGCCTTTGTCTTAAGAAAAGCATATTTTGTACATCACCTTTTTCTTTCCGTTTTCTCTCAGGTCTTCCCCAAAGCGGGAGCTGGCAGGACCTGAAGGATCACATGCGGGAGGCAGGTGATGTATGTTACGCTGATGTCTTCCGCGATGGCACAGGTGTGGTGGAGTTTGTGCGCAAAGAAGACATGACCTACGCTGTGCGTAAATTGGATAACACCAAGTTTCGTTCTCATGAGGTACGTAATGAGTCAGAGCAGAAAGCTTTGTTACTGAGGACGTGCTCTTGCGCTGCAGTTTGAAGTTTGCACATTTAGATGAAGAAGCGGGATTGAGGGGGATGGATGCCCAACTGTAAGTAAAGCCAAATCTCAAAGTGTCCCTGGGGAAAAAAAGAACATGAATTTTATTTTCATATATGTTTATGATTAAGTGCAGGTTGAGATGCTTGATCGATCAACTTTTTTTTTTTTTACGTTAAGAGAATTATTAGCCTTTTTTAGGTTGCTGAAACCAATGTGAACTCTTCCTGGTGACTGCTTGAACCTGATTGTTCTCTTCATAGATGCTAACACACGCATTTGTGTTTAGGGAGAGACGGCCTACATACGTGTGAAGATGGATGGCAATCGCAGCCCCAGCTACGGCCCCTCTCGCTCTCGTAGCCGCAGTCGAAGCCGCAGCAAGAGCCGGTCCCGCAGCTACTCCCCGCGCCGCAGCAGGGGATCCCCCCAGTACTCGCCCCGGCGTTCCCGTTCACGCTCCCGTTCCCGTACTTAGATCTGCCTAAACTGAAGCAGCGGTGTACCTCAGAGCCAGAGAGGAGGCGGTCACGTTTAAAATCCAGTGGTTACTCCCAGGATCATCTCTCACTTGTGTACAATGTTGTTTTGTGTGTTTCACCCACCCCTCCTTCTCCATTTTGTTTTTCCCTACTTTTTTTTTGCAGATTTGATTTTCTCTCCCGCTTGGCTTCCTCTGTCTTTTTCCCCTTCTGTTTCTGCTATCCATCTTTTTCTCGTCCCAGCATATTTTTTTTTCCCCTTCTCGTTGAATGCTTTTGTTTTTTCTTTTTGCCATCGTCTTTGACTTCTCCATAGCATATACAACTGTCCTTTGACCTTCTTGTGTGTTTCTCTGTAGAATTCAGAGGAACAGGATAGGATGGGAAGAGAGGAAACAGTTCATTTTAGGATAAACAGGAGGAGGAGGAGTCAAATATGGCACCAATGGTATGATGGCTGTGCCTTGTCGACTGTGAAATCTACACTTAAGGCTTTTGTGAATTTCTTTTCCTTAAAATACTCAGTTTACACTTGAGTACTGCTGTTGAATGTTACAGTAAAGTGTGCTGTAAACTGTTTTTGGGGACCCTAAAATGTATTTGTTTTTCTTTGTTTTGTTTTTTTTGTTTGGTTTGCTTCTCATCTTTTTGTAGTCAAAGTATTGTTTTGGATTTGATTGGTAGTTGAATTATAAATATTTTTAAAATGTTTTCCAAAGGTGTGATTCTAACTCACCTCCTTCTCTTTGGTTCTGCTGGTTATTCTTAAGGTTTGGACTGGGCTCATTGGCTCACCTTTCCGGATCCGGATCAGGATTCAGGATCAGTTTAGGATTAGGCTTCAGGATGGATACATGGAGCACGACCCCGGCCCTGTCCACCTTACCCCGGCTAACCGGAAACCTCTCAGTAAACGAGATAAATCAAACTGATTTGGCTTTCGGAATTATCAAAATTATTCCTTCTTTTTTGGTCTGGGACACCAGAGACGCAGTTACTGGCGGCAGAGTGGGGAAACCATTTCTCTTTTTTTATTTTTTTATTTTTTAATTATAAAAAGAAGAGCAAAGCTTGGATAGGATCCAGTAGGAGGGCATGGAGGTGCAGGATGGATCCCACGCGTAAGGAGAGTGGTAAATTGTGGGGAACATTTGTCAGGGGGCGAGGGAGGTGTGGTTGGTAAAATGAAAGGATGCTCAAAATGGTATGACTTTTCTTGGTTCAGTCATTTCCAAAGATGGATGATTTGTGATTTTCAGTATTTCACTGCTTATTTCTCTTTTAATAAAACATTCAGTAACAATAAGTGAGTCCTGTTTTTGTTTTTTTTAATCTGTCCATATAAGTTTGGTACAATGTTACACATCACTTGCACAAAGTATTTCTGAGTAAGCTGAGGTGATGGGAGCAAGTTTTCCCTTCATTTAGATCGTTTCTTCCTATTTTTGTAAAAGTAGAATTATTCTAGTCCTATATTCCCAGATTTTTCAAAGCATTTTATTAAATAAATTTACTTAATATGAAGTCAGAGAATCTTAATGTATTCCATTACCATTCAATTCAATCCCAAAGTATTATTCTTTGTGGACAAAGCAGAGTATTCACTGAGCACAATTAAATTGTGTTTCTTGGGATTTGTTAAGTTTGAACAAGTTTTCAGTCGGCTTTCATAGTCAGATTGCAGAAAGTAAAACAAGTTTTTGCTTTTGTATGAGAATATATGTGCTCTATTGGATAACTAAATGGGGGGGAGGGAAGCGATTTCTTTCAGCTCTTAAAAAATAAAAGTAAACAGATGTGTAATTTAGAAAAAGGGGAGGTGTATCAGTTGCACATATGACTATTTTCGTATATAATTATCAAGCCTTCCATTCAAGATCTCAGTCTCTCAAATCAGCTTATGATCAGTATTTTTGTGCAGTAACAACCGCTGGTCTCCTTAAGCTGGTAAACCTAAGGCCAGAGTAACACAGTAAGCCTTTTTTTCTCAGAAAAAGCCATGTTTTGTCAGTATAAGTACATGATTTAACCATCACAAAATAAAAGTGCATGTGTGTTTTCCTTCATGATAAATATCCTGCTTTAGATGGGAACACACATTAGTGTTTAGTTCATTATGTGATGGAGCAAAAACCAAAGTTTTCTTGAAAGATTCAGACTTTTCTCTTTTCCACTGCTCAGAGAACATTGGTTATGGAGTTGATGTAGAGTCCATCTATAACCAGAAAAGATCCAACTTATCTTGGGTTCTGTTAGGTTCCCCTTTGATTCATTTCAAATCTTAGCAAATTTGTCACTCCCTTTCTGAAAGACCTTACAATTTTACAACATTTTAAAGTCTGATTTCTATTTTTATTTTTTTTTGCAAGAATTAGAAGCTCTATAGTGATTACACACCATGCTGAAAAGGATATTTTCTAATGTTATTTGTGAGAAAAAACACTTTTTGAAGTCATAAGCCTAGGATTATTATAGTTCTCTATGTTATTAAAGTATTATCAGACGAATACCATTATTTTGGTAATCCTATTTATTTCATGTATGAAAAAATGTTTTATTTACTTATATAAAGCAGTGTTGAGTCGGACTCCTTGATAATAGAAATAACAGTTTATGAAAATGTTCCAGACAAAAGCTTGCCACACGAAACATGGCGAACAGGCTGACGTACTGTTTCTAAGTACGTCAAAATGACATCTACGGTGAAGCAGGAGGTGAGAGCGGTGCAATCTGGGTGGAAATAAAATGCAGGCCCTTCTCCGCGAGTAGAAAATGAGCGTCAGCTGGGCGAAGGCTTGTCCTGAGCCAATCAGCGGGAGGAGGAGATGCAGAGGGCGGAGCGGGAGAACCACGCGTCCTTCAATAAATGAAAGAAAAGCTGTGTAGCCCCCCGAAGCGTGCATCTCTGAACACTGAAACTACGCACAGGAACGGTAAGAGTTATTTAAATATTATACAGTGTGCTTTGCTATGACTGAGTATGCAAAAGCTGCTGCGCAGGAGAAACCGAGTGCTTTGCATCTTTCCTGCGCCGTTTGAGCAATAAAAGCGCATGAGCCACTGTGGAAACCTGACTACAAAGGGTAATGGTGGCTGAAGCAAACATCCTCTCGCACAGAAGCACCAAGTTGGTATAGCTGTGTGCACTCCCAATATGAGTTATCTTTGTAGCAGCACTGCATGAAACGCAAAATGCCTCCCGCTGTAAAATGCCGGGCTCACGTGGTTTGCAAAAACATCGATCAAAAGAAGTGCCGACAGTGGATTCTATGCACCAAACGATGTCTTGTCTGCATCCTTTTATTTACAATGTATCAAACTTTTGTGACTTGCAGGGCATCATGTCTGACAAGAAGGCAGTGATCAAGAATGCAGACATGTCTGATGAAATGCAGCAGGATGCTGTAGACTGTACCATGCAGGCAATGGAGAAGTACAACATAGAGAAGGATATCGCTGCCTATGTTAAAAAGGTATGGCGCTCACGTTTTAAGTTGGATAAATATGACCTTTTGAAGAACTTTTACATCAGCATTGACCTTCATCTTTCTCATCTTTCCCGCAGGAGTTTGACAAGAAATACAATCCGACATGGCACTGCATCGTTGGCAGGAACTTTGGCAGCTATGTGACGCACGAAACTAAACATTTCATTTACTTCTACTTGGGTCAGGTGGCGATCCTGCTGTTTAAGTCCGGCTAAGGCATACACACTCTTGTCACAATGTGCATGCTGCCACCTTTCTGCAGACATGCCCATCTCCTGGTCCGCTGCTTTCAACAATTACTTTGTGCCAACTGCAACACAAACCATTGATGATCAGTGCTTTAATCATGTCTGCACAGATGATTCATAGGACGTCCAAGAATTGGGATCAGTCTGATGGTGGCCCTCGGTCAGCGTTTGTACATCCGTCTTCGTTATATCTGTGTTTTTGCTTTTGTGCTGACCTGCCCATTATTTCAAAGGAGTTTGTTGTAAAATAACTTATTTTTAGTGCATTAAGATGAGCAACAGAGTTTTTGTTCAAATGCCTTTAATTTCCAGGACTAAAAATGTCAGGACTGTTGCTTGAACCTAATAAAAGCTGTGACATGTGGAGGTTTGTACGTGCTTTAACATTCCTGGTTATGCCTGTGAAGACTTGCAGCGATCCTGTTCTGTATATCTGTAAACTCATTTGGTTGCCTGGTATTGTGACGGTTTTTGTCGAGATCAAATGTTGAGCACAAACCAATTTTGACAATTAAATAGTTCAAATGATGTCTGTGGATGCATTTTAATTTGGTTGTATTGCATGACTTTAAATGGTGTTATGCCTCACATCTGACATGGCCTTAATGCCCTACTTGGTGTTAAGGCTATGACAAGGTGTGGGAATTTTATGTAAAAGAATTTAAAACTTAAACTTGCAGTTGGAACTAAAAATGCATTAGAGGTGGCATTGCTTTCATCGTACCAGTTTACTATCAAAGAAATTATGGAATTTCGGCATACATAAGGAAAAGGCTCACACTAGCCGTCCAGTGAGTTGGTGGAACGATTTAAGATAAATTTGTTCAGATTCTAATTCATTAATACACTTGCACAGCCACTCATAAAGCAGACTAGATGTCTTGATAGAAATCTAGTTAATTCTGTATGATGCCTAATAAATTTGAGTATTTTTGGTGTGAAAGGATGCCATTGAAAACAAATGGATTTTACTAGCATTAGTTAGAAGAAAAGAAAATGAAGCAAAAATGGGAGGACATTGGTTCTATAAAACCCAAAAGAACTGGAGAAATGAGAAGCAGAGGAATCATCTCAGATTTCGGCATTCTAGACTAAACCACTCTTAATTTTAGGAAAACATTAGTGCAAGTGTGAATGCTCTGTGGCGTTGATGAGACTAGAACATGTTACGTTATTTTATTTGTTATGAAGAAAGAACAGCTGATCCAAAACTTAAAAACTAGACTTTATTTATTCATTTAGCAATAACTCAAAGTTATCAGAAAATATTTAGTTATCTGAAATTAACAAAGTTGAATAATATAAATTGGGTGACATTCTGGTCTACACTCCATGCCAGACGGTGGCGTTTATTTTTGGTTCTGTACCAACCGCCACAAGAAGACGAAGAAGAAGGACGAACAAAAGTGCTTCCGGGTGATAAAAATGTCGGCTCCTGTCGGGGTGTCGGCACCGGTGTTCGGCCGTCCTGCCGTCCCTGCCTTCCCGTCCACGGCTCTGTCGGCCGAAGCCGCTCCGTTCAGTCCCGGAGAGTCGGACTGCTCGCCGCTAGACTCTCTGTCGGACGCGGAGAAGCAGTTTTCCCGCTGCGCCGCAAAGCTTCGAGCCCTGAGACCAGACTGCAGCCAGCTGAGAGAGGAGCTCAATCAGCTGTTTGACCAGCTGCTTTCAGAGAACTACAACAGGAGCTGCGAGCTTCCCATCACCATCCGACCAGAGGTAACACAATCTACCAACCAGCAGCCGCTCCTCTTCGGTCATTTTTAAGGGTTTGTTGGTTATAAAGCGTCTTGCTTCTCTTTTCCAGGATGTGTGTGTTCTGCTAAAGCACACCAGTGGCCTTGTACCTCTGAATCAAGAGCATTTAGTTGTTAAATTCTGTCAACTTGTTCATCACCTCCTCAATCAGCTGAAGGTAAGAACGAGCATAATGCAAAAAATCTACTTAACCATGTTGCCCTACAATTGTTCTTAACTTCAAAATCAATTTAAATTGATATATTTGAATTTTTGGCTGTAGCCTCAGGCACCTGAGGCTACAGCCTTATGTATTTGTCTTTTTTGTTTTTCTTGGATGGGCTGAACTGGAACAAATTTCGTCAAGATTTTGTACAATGACAATAAAGGCTGATTCTGATATTCATTCATTCCCCTTTAACATTTTGAATATCTGGTGGAGGTTGAAGTTAGTTTTTCTGCAGTGGGCTGGAATATATTAACTTGTTTTTATTCTGCTTGGATTTTCTCCAGGTTATAATGGATGAACAGACACTGGATGTGCTGGTAAAATATACTGTCAATGCCCTGAAACAGTGCAGTACATGGACCCACTCAGATGTTCTCTTGGCACTTTCCACAGTCATGTATGGTAATGGATCTCAGTGCCACCAGGTAGAGTATCATTGTTCACTGCTTTTTAAACTGTATTTGGTATTTCCATGGCTTTAATTAAATATTTGAATCTAACAGTGAATCAAGGAGTTTCTAAATTCTTATCCTTTCAATAATGTCTCTAATCTTTAATAAATTCCAAAAATATCCCTAAAATAAGGTGACATTTAAACTCAGAGTCTTTATATCTTTGAAGAGTGAAAAATTTTAAGTCAAATTTGTCAATAATTGTTCTACCAGAACCAACCACAGTAATGTTATCCTGTTTCAGTCATGTCTGTTCTTATTTGCATTGAGATTTTGCTCGTTCACAGCTCGTGAGTGACCTGCTGCGTGAAGATGGAGTCATTCTGCAGTACAGTTCTCCTTCCCAGCCAAATATCGAGTTGAGGCATGTTGCGCTCACCTGCATGGCCAACATCTGCCTCAGGTAGACTTCACGACGGCAAAAATGTTCACATTTCTTCATGTTATAGACATAGCCTTCTATTTATCTCATTTTAGATTCCATGTAGTACATCAACACAGAATGGTGCTTAATTGTTTCCTTAACGTCTTTATATGTCCATATTTGAAATGTTCCTTTTGGCTTCTTTTGTGTCATTATGCCGGATGGCTGCGTGTTTTCCTCTGCAGGATTCCCGGTCAGCCACTTTTGGACGATCAGTACCGAAGTCTTTGTTTCAGACTTTTTCTGAAGACACTGCAGTCACCCAAACCTCCCAACACCGATGATCTCTTCTACGGCATGGTACCTACGACTGGCCTGCTACAATAAGAAAATAGTTGAAAAATGCATGTTTAGTGATGGCTAACACTTGTTTGCTATGTTTTTCTTGCAGGTCATCCAGGCTGCTCTGAAGGGACTTCAGTTCTGTCTGTCAGGTGGGAAGTGGAAATTTGGAGGAGGAGAGGAGCTTGGATCTGTACTGGCTGCACTGAAGGTGGAAAATTGAACCATATTTCCTTCTGCACAAATCTGTCTGGTGAAGTCTGTTCATTTGAGAACTACTGATTCTTTTCATAGAGGCTCATGTTCCAGGCAGCCCCTGGTTTGAGTGTCGACTGGCCAGAGGTAATTTACCCAGCGCCTCTTTCGCAGTATGAAAGTCTCTCTCCACCAAGGCCTACTGAACCACCAAAAACTTTAGAAACACCAAAGGAGGCTGATAAGACTGGAAAAACTTCAGGAGTAAGAGGAACCTTAGTTCTTACTCACTTTAGTACCTACACAGGATTTTTCTGCATTTATTGCAAGGTGTTCACTTTGTCTCATTTAAGAAAAAAAAGAAGAAATCGAAAGGAAAAGGAAAGAAGACAAAACCTGAAGAAAGCAAAGTGGATGACAGAGAGGAGGAAGATAGAGAAGCGGTGCCTGAAGTCTGTGGAGACGGAGGGGACGGCAGCAGAAATGATGTGGAGAGCTTAGCCAAACAGCCCGCCTCGTTTCTTTACCCGTTCTGGAAGCTGAACAGTTCTGAATCAGAGTTTTCGGACATCGAGGGGAACGCACAAAGCAAGTTAAGGTACACAGAGAGCTTTTTACATATTTGTTCTTTTGATCACAGGGTTCCTCCACTGTTTGAAAGGAATGCATTTTTTCCAGAAATGTAGTATTTCTTGTCCTCCATCCATTCATCTTTCTTTTTTTTTTTTTTTTTCTGCCACAAATTCAGTCAACTTTTGTTTTTAAACTATAAAAATGATCAGGACAGGACAGAGAACAATGTGTTGGAACCCTGTTTTAATGCGAGTATTTTTATTCCCAACAACAAACCTTTCCATTTTGCCGTTTCAGAGTTTACCAGTGCCGTGTTCGTCAGTTAGCCCTGCACTGCATGCTAGCAGTAGTGAAAGCTGTGGAGAAGAGGACTCTGTATGGTTACTGGTCCTCCTTCATCCCAGACTCTCCTGCTGGTGGACCCCCATCTCTAACTCTCCTTACAATTATACTAAAGGACCCCTCACCAAAGGTACAGCCAGTCACAAACATTTGCTCTGGTTTTCATCAGAATGTGTGAAACATTACACTTTGTGTTTAATTCATGTATTCTTTCTTATTCTAGGTGCGACTGTGTGCGCTTCAGGTGCTGTCGGCCATCTTGGATGGCTCCCGGCAGTTTCTGGCTGCGGCTGAAGACACAGCATCACCTCGAACGTCTTACACCCCGTTCTCCTTCATGCTAGCTGCTGCTGTCAGAGAGCTGCACCGCGGCCTCAGCCTGGCTCTTCTGGCTGAAACGTCCTCTCAAACACTCACACAGGTCACAAAGGTGGGCAACCTGATTTATCATTTAATGTTTAGGCAGCTGGTCCTAGACTACAAGCTGAGTGCACGATGATAACCTCAGAGTGCTAATCACAAATTAGCTGCCTACAATCCTAGACTGCTGCTCTGCAGAGGGTGAAATAACACACAACAAGAATTAGTCTCTCCCTTTCCCAAATGGGGGATTGAATTACATTCATACCACACAGCGTCACATGGGCAAGCCACATTGTATTGACTAACATCAAAGAGATTGGGTTTACCACCTGTGGACTGGAAGACAATGCAGCATTGTTCTGTTGGCTGCGGGGGTGAAGCAGTGAAGACAACCAAACTCTTAAATACTTCATTTATGATGAAAATGACCATAACTCAGCCTTTGAATAATAAAATTGAGCAAAATAAAGTTAGTTTGTGCTGAAGGAGAGCTTGTGTGACAGACACAGTGCTGCAGTCACGGAGTATCTCCTCTTCTGTCTGTTAGTGCCTGGCGTTCCTGGTGGCCAACGCTCCCTATCATCGCCTCAGACCTGGCCTGCTGAGCCAGCTCTGGAAACAGATTCGTCCTTATGTGCGCCACAGAGGTCTGCACCTCGTCTCAATGACCTTTCTAGCTTTTTAAAGTTTCTCTGTAACTGTATGAATGCTCTGTCTACAGATGTGACCGTACGCGGGTCTGTGCTGAGACTGTACGGGGCGATAGTAACGGCTCAGGCCCCGCTCCCTGAGGTGCAGCTTCTCCTCCAGCAGCCAGAAAACCTCGGCGGTGGCAGCATCTCTGGCTCCGTAACGCCACAGGACTCTGCTCTCAGCTGGAGACACAGGAATGGAGCAGCCTCGCCTGTTCGGACACCAGCAGCTTTCTCCCAACAAAACTCAAGCACGCATTCCCCCCAGCTCCCTCACACACCGAGAGAGGAGGAGAAGTCGTCACCGTGGCTGTTGAAGCTGTGTGTTTCTCTGGTGACTCAGCCCAGGGAGGAGCAGTCAGACAGTGAGGGAGCTGGAGGCAGTGGTGCTTTAGAGCCCTCTCCTGTTCGACTAGAAGCTCTGCAGGTAAAGATTATGGAAACGACTTGTAAATGCTTTAAAGAAGCATTCCTCAAGATATGTTTTATTTGATCTTTCAGGTGTTGTCCCATCTGGTACGCGGTTATTTCCCTCTTGCTCAATCAAGCCTGTATGAGATTGGGCAGCTGAGCGTTCGGTGCCTCGAGGAGACAGACCCCTCCATACAGCTACACAGTGCAAAGGTAAAGCTGTCTACCTCAGCTGCAAGCATTACACATGGTCACAAAACTACAATAAGCAAAGGACCTTTGTGGCTTTGTTGTATTTTTTTCAGCTACTAGAGGAGTTTGGTGCAGGAATAATCCAACAGTACAGAGCTGAGAACAGTGTTCCTGACAACTATAAGGTTCCTGTGAACCAGGTAAGATCCTTTGCTTTGGTCTCGGGATGCAACTATTATCTTATTAATCGATTAGTAACATATTTTTCATCAAGGCACTTAATCCTTTTTTATGTAATACTAGAGATGCATTAAAATGCAAATAAGCAATTCAGATCCTTTTTTAAATAATAAAAATTTTTTAAAAATTGCATAAAATGCAATACCATAGCATTCCTTTAGGGAATTTGAAGTGGGTGAAGCTAAAACTATGCCACTTGAGGAGTTTTGAGCAAAACATATTTCCAAACAAAGCAGTTTTTTTTTTTAAATCTTCAATGCCAAATGTGCATATTTCATACAATTTTGGCTTAATTACTGCTCTGAATACAATGTTTTTTCAGCAAATTGTCTTTTTTAAGTCTGTATACTCCAGTTGATTATTAATCACTTACTAAATTAGTATTCCCTAGTTAAGGTAGATTTAAGAGTTTGTTGTGAAAACTGAAGGCTCAGCTTTTCAGAAGATTAAACATTATGTCATGATGGGTTACAGTACAGGTCCAAAATCACACAAATTTAAAATGGATAAAAATAAATGACATCCAAGTTGCCTGTGATGGTCCAACATTCAGCTGGGTTGTGCTCATGTCATGTTGGCCAACCTGTGGTCCTAATGCAGTGTTTCCCGCTTGTAGGTGGTGGAGTTTTGGTTAGAAGTGTTGAGTGGGCCACTAAATGCAGCACTACAGAATGAACAACATCCCACGCTACAGGCAAGCGCCTGCGACACGCTCGCCTCCATCCTGCCACAGGCCTTCGCCCAGCTGCCTGTGAGTTTCTTCTTTGATCACCTTCTAATTTTCCGAAGATAAAATTGAAATTCCTCCAGCTATATTTGCAATCTTGGTTTTCAGGATAAAACCCAGCTGATGTGCATCACCGTGCTGCTGGGCCTGACCTACATTGAGAACTATCTGGTGAAGACTGCAGCCGTCAGGGCTTTGGGAGTTTACATACTGTTCCCTTGTTTGAGAGAGGCAAGTAATCGGTAAAGATCAGCCTCTGTGCTGTTGAGTCATCTGAATGTTTTCAGATATTCTCTTATTATATTCTCCTCTCAGGATGTGATGTTTGTGGCTGATACTGCGAACATTATCCTCGCTGCCCTTGATGACCGATCTACAAACGTCCGTGCAAAAGCTGCGTGGTCTTTGGGAAACCTCACAGACACACTAATCATTAATATGTAAGACTGCTTGGGTTCATAAAGCAGAGAGAATAGGGTGAAAAGTCTGGAACTTCCTCTTAAATCAGCAGCAACGTACTTAAAGGTGGACATTACTGGATATTTCAACTTGAACACTCAATAAAACAGATTTTAGAATTGATTGGTTTGGAACTACAACTGTACTAAGCATTTTATTTATGATTAAAATCCTGATCAGTGCCAGAAAATCAACCAAATTACACTCTGTACTCCGTCCCTGGTAGAGTGGTCAAACAACCAGCCAAAAATGTAAAGAAATTTGTTGAGTGTTGCAGTTGCAAAGGGGCATTTAAGCCAATAATATATCATCTTCATGTAAAACTTTGACCCAGTACAGAAAATCTACCAAAAAAATTGAACTTCTGCATCAAATTCTTGTTTGTTGTATCATAATTCCATCCTGACTAAAAACACTTTAAATTCATCATTAAAATCTGAGAATTAAATACCTTCATGGCCATAATGATTGTAAACTTCTGGACCTGATCTGTATATTTCTCTATCTTCAGGCAGAATGTAGGTGTGGATTTCCAGGAAGAATTGTCCGACATGCTTCTGCTGAAGATGCTGCAGGCAGCAACTCGAGCAGCTGCAGACAGAGACAAGGTGAAAAGAAAAAAAACAACAAAAAAAACACATTCACTCAGATTTACGGTAGTAACCCCAGATCTCCCGAGGGCAACGTGTTCAAGCTAATATGTCACTTTGTTTTCTTCTCCTCTAACCTTCCAGGTGAAGTGCAATGCAGTGCGAGCACTTGGAAATCTGCTTCATTTCCTGCGTCACAGTCAGATGACTCGGCCTGTTTTCCAACGCCCTCTGGAAGACGCGGTTCGTGCTCTGGTCAAAACCGTCCAATCGGAAGCAGCTATGAAAGTCAGGTGGAATGCCTGTTATGCACTGGGAAATGCGTTCAGAAATTCCTCTCTGCCGCTTGGTAACTATTTTTTTTAAATTTTCTCTTAAGAGTCTAGAGATTCAAGTGAATATTATGCAAAATTCACTTTCTGCCCATTTTTATACTTTCAGTTGGGCCTTGACTGCTTTTAAAAACTGTCCAGGCATTTAAAAAAACACTCAAATGTTTTTTAGCAATAGGTTAATGTTTTTTTTTTTATGTCTGGAAAACAAATTGCTTTAACAAACTTCTTTGTAGAGTCACAACAAAGTGCAGTACCTCGTTACCTAGCAACCCCAGCGAGCCCAGTTTGTCATATAGCAACCCAAGCAGAGCTCCGGCACGTTTGGTTGTTGTTACCAATCAGAAATCACATACTACAGTCCTGTTGCTTGTGCAGAAGGTTCCATTTCTGCTTTTCAAAGATATGGTTGTATAATTGCGCATCTGTTTTCAGCAATTTTCATCTGCTGAAACGTTGAGTTGGGGGGGCGTGTCTAGTAGAAGCTGACTTGGATTTAAAGTGACAAGACGTCCTTAAAAAACAGCTCATTCTCAAAGGAGCTCAAAATATTCAGAACTGATCAGACAAAAATCTCATTATCTAAGAATGATTTTGTGCAAAAAATGTAATGAACATGTTTTGCATAGCCCATAGACCTTTCCTAACCCAATTGAAGGGAGCATAATAAGTCCCCTTTTAGGAGTAGCTAATGATTTAGATCTAAGTCTAAATTTTAGCAATAACTTTCCGTCTTTTAGTTGTTGGATTTTGCTGATGTCAAACATTACAGCTGCCCGTTGTTTCTGTCTTCATGACAGAGACGGCTCCATGGTCTCAGGATGCCTTCTCCGCCCTCTGCCATGTGGTCACCTCCTGCAAAAACTTCAAAGTCCGCATCAAGTCGGCCGCCGCCCTCGCGGTGCCAGCTCAGCGCAGCTGCTACGGTGACACAAAGCGCTTCAGCTGCGTGTGGCGCTCTCTGGCCACAGCCCTGGAAAACAGCGAAGACGCAGTCGACTTTCTGGAGTACCGCTACAGTGCCAGCCTCCGACACACGCTCTCTGAGGCTCTGCTGCACCTGCTCAGCCTCGGCACGCTGCAGGACATGCCTGAACTCAGCGCTTCGTTGGCCGGGGAGGAGGGTAGGAGCATCAGACAGCATTTAATCAAGTATCTTAAAGCGGAGGAAGGAGAAGGAAAAACAGGAGAAGATGAAGCAGGAGAGGAGAGGAACTGTGGGGAGGAGAGTGGACAGCTGCAGCAAAGACTGGGTCGACTCCAGGAGGCGCTTGTCAGACTTAAGAGCCTGAAGGCTGAAGAGGAGGGAGGGGAGCAGGAGAAGGACATGGTGGTTCATTTCCTCGAGGATCTGTTGAAGATATGTGAGGAGTTTTAGAAATTTACTTTAACCTGAGTCTATGGTAAATCAGACTGGGGCAAAAAGTAAGAGAAGAGCAGATCAGTGTTGATACATTTGAACAACATGTTTTCAGAAGAATTAAAATCTGCTTTGATGATGAATTTGTCCTTCAGATTTCAAACGCTCACAGCATATATATATATATATATATATAATCTCAATTTACGGAAATTATTAAATGATATTAAAACAGTTTACCCCTGAGAAAACTGAGATGAAATAAAAAGCCGAGGGGGGAGAAGATCCCCAAACCTGACCCCCAACTCAGAGACAGGGTCTCTGGGAGGTGAAAAAAAGCCTCTGGAACTCAAAAATATGTTCATGTAAAGATGTAAACATGAAATATAAACATGGTTGAAAATAACAATCCTTTTGTGTCAACATTTGAAGTAACAATAGTTACTATTTAGGTTATGTGCAGGTTATTTTATGTTTTATCATCCCTTTTTTTTCTATACTGCTACATTGATTTCTATTGTATTTAGTTAATAAAAAACACTTGTACTTGCCTATTATCTTTGACCTGTAATTTATCATAGTCATAATCAACTGACTGAAGTCGAGTCACCAAATTATTCAATTACACTTTTTGGAAACATTAGTATTGGTATCGGCAATACTGGCCTTGTATTTACATGATTTCAGATCAATACCAGAGTTCCCAGTATTGCACACCCCTATATGAACCACACTACACCGTCTTTGGCTAGATATATGACTGAGTGTATAGATATATTTTACATTTCTTGTATTATTGTATAATATCTGATGTCTGAAAGTAGATTGATACCTCTGTTTTTCTGATTCTTCCAAATTTTTCTTCTGTCACAAAACCTACAGTGCCTTGCAAAAGTATTCAAACCCCTTGAACTTTTTGCCACTTGTGCATGTGTATTTTAAAATATATTGTGAGGTGGAAGGTAGTTTGTTTTCAATTTTATTTTTTACAAATAAAATTTTGAAAGCCATGGCATATGTGTACTCTGGCACCCCCTATCCAATGTAACTAAGATCCAAACAATTGACTAAACTTTGTGTTTTGATATGGTGCCTTTAATGGTGAAAAGTACAATGTACATCACTATATTTCTCCTGGATATTTTGGGGTAAGTTGCTCTCAGAGGATACTTTGATCATGGCAGGGTTTTTTTCAGGGAAAATAGTCTTTTCTCAGATTTACAAACAGCTGGGGCAAAATATGTTTAACCCAGTTCTATGCTGTCAAATTATACTTTCTGCAGAATGTCAAATTTTTCAACACATTTTGCCATCAGGATGCCACCAAAAAAGTAGGTTTGTGGCCCACAATGTGGTAACACACAAACTAAAAGTTTTTGATGCCAATTCAGTCACATGTATTTATTGTTTATAGCTTGGCATTTCTATTGACTGTATTTTTTTTCTGTGTATATGTTGTATTTGATGCAACATATACACAAACGTCTTTTTCAGAATTCCCTTGAAAAAGGGGTTTTTAATCTCAATGGGTTTTTATTGTGATTTTTGTAAAGATTAAATGAAAAAAATAAACATGTGTACTAACCGTTGCGTTTCATCTGATCAGTCTTCGCAGAAATCAATAATTAATGCAAAGTGCCACCATAAAAGATCCCAAGCAGAAATGTTTGACGGAAAACTAATACACCACGTGTGTAGTACCAGCAGTGGCCACTAGGTGGAAGAAAAGGCTGGAATGTGCATGAACCGGATGTTGATTGTCTTTGCGTGGATCTTTCACAGACCACGCTGCTGCCACAGCAATGGACACATTCGAGCTGTTTAGGAAACTCGGAGCCGGTGCTAAATTTGACTTAAAGAGATTTGGTCAAGATGCTGCTCGGTTTAAGGTACTCTTGATAACAATTCTCGGCGGAAGTAGTAGCTAATACAAATAGCCGCTGCTCATGTTGGCTGGCAGTGATATCTGTTGCTTCTCTAGTTTCTCTTCCCTTTTGATGATTAGCTGTGCTATTATTATACTAGGCACTATGGTAACAGCAGAACCTGCATATGTTCTGACCCATTGTGTAGGTGGCCAGGTCTCAGGGCAGAGAAGCGTCGCTGGATTCCCTGTCTGCGATCAACTACTTCGGCACAGGAGCAGCTAATGGAGCCCAGAGTGTGGATGAGGATGGCATCGAAAGTTTAGACTCTGAAGTAGGAGGCAAAAGAAAACGCAAAGAGCGACCGGGAGAAGTGAGACACAAAAGCAAGATGACGGAAAGCAGCCTGGTGGAGGAGGACGGTAAAGGACGCAGAATCCATGCTTGTTTCTCAGGCTTTTTATTTTTATTTTATTTTTTACTCTTTTATAATTTAAGAGTGACAATATTAGATAAATAAGAAATAGTTTTTAATTGTGAATTAGGGCATTTATACACACAGCCACAGAAGTACTTTTTTTTTATACCCGCTTTGTACTAATGGAGATTAAAAGTTTTGTCCATTCTTCTTTGTAAATGAGCTCAACATCAGTCATATTGGATGAAGCGCATCTGTGACGGACAGATACAGTTCTGTCTTTATCAAAAGTGTTTCACTTTGACAGAGAGATCTGGTTTTGAAATGACAAATGAGGCTTTTAGCAGCTTGCCTTACTGTAGGTGCAAATTGTAAAAAGTAAATTTTTCAGAGTATAAGCTCTCTTCTCTGTTTTTATCTCCAGTTGGTGGTGAACCACTGACTGAGACCCAGAGAGGCGGCATCACCTGGACCTCCTCCTTGGACAGAAAGATCCAAGACGTACAGAAGGATGGGACGGAGAAATTCTCGCTCAAGAGGCTGAAGCATCTTCATCAGGAGAAGGTCTCCTCTCACTGAAACCCCCAGAAAGAGATTTTTGTCTGCTTTTCTATAACTTGGACATCCATGAAAAGAACTCTACACTCCTTAAGGCTTTTTTCTTTTTCTTTCTGGGTTTGGCTTTAAGGTGAATCGCATTCGTGCGCAGCACCGTATAAACGTCCATGGCTGCGATGTGCCCGACCCGGTTTGCTCGTTTGAGGAGCTTCAGTCCGAGTATCGTCTCAACCCGCGCGTTCTTCAGAACCTCAAGGACGCAGGACTGAACACGCCAACGCCAATACAGATGCAGGCGATACCGCTCATGATGCATGTGAGTTAAAATACTTTGCAATTGGCCAATCAGAGCACAGACCTCAGGTTTTCTTTTAATTTGAGATTATTTCTGCTGGTCTGGTTTCTCTTTCAGGCTCGGGAGCTGTTAGCGTGCGCGCCGACCGGATCTGGAAAGACTTTGGCCTTCTCTCTTCCGCTGCTCGCCCACCTGCAGCAGCCTGCAAACCTGGGCTTCAGGGCTCTGGTCATCTCCCCGACTAGAGAACTGGCCAGCCAGGTACACAGATTGTTTCTACCCCAGTCAGGATAACAGAATTTACTGGATGATAAATTGTCTCTGAAATTATTGTGGTAAACGATAATATTGTTGTTTGGAGACATTTTTTTTTTTTTTTTCAAAACACTCCACACTGAAACTGGAAGATAGTTTTTATTTCCAAAATAACACAGAAACATAAACAATAAAATGAAATAAAAACTACCCACAACTGAAACCATGTGCAAAATGGATTATGAGCTCTGTAAATGAAAATGATGGAAAAATCAAAATGGAAATTATTGAACTCTTTTTAATTCATCATGCGATTAATGAATCAATTGCTTATCGCAACAGGCTTGTTTCAGACCTTATTTTTGTGCAATTCACCTCTTACTAGTGTCGACTGTGGATTTATCAAATACCTATTATGATATCAATCAAGTATTGGTTGAAAACTTGAATTAAAGCTGTAGAAAAAGCAGCTGGTGCTCACAATGCTTTAGATATTTCACTGGTTGTTGCAGAGGAAGAAGATGCTGAAATTTAAGTTTACTTGTTTAACAGTTTATTTGATTTTGTTGAATGTTGGACAAAAAGTAGCTTTATTAAACCTGAAGCAGAGCTTTAACGTCATCTTACATCTAAGATTTAATTTTTAGGTTAAGATACAGTGGATCTTGTGGATCTTCTTGTGACCGATATGATCATAGGATCATATGAAATGAGTTTCATATGATCCTTTTTAGACTCTCTTCAAAACTGTGGCTTTAACTGAAGGATACGAATACTGAGAAAATTCCTACATGGTGCTCAAGATGACTCAATGCTTAAGTTGAACCAAAAGTAGCTTTAATAAAGTTTTAGTTTGAGGTTTAAACACCTGTTGCACATGTTGCCTGGTTATTTCATCCTTTACCGTGGTATTGCTGCAGATGTGTGCTCTTTTCGTAGGTACTATTTCCATGTCAGCACTCCATGTTAGCTTTGTTGTGTTGTGTTCAGACCTACAGAGAGCTGCTGCGCCTGTCAGACGGAGTCGGCTTTAGAGTTCATATCATCGATAAAGCTTCCCTGGCAGCTAAGAAGTACGGTCCACAGTCAAATAAAAAATATGGTGAGTGGTCGCAAATGTTGTCTTTTGGAAATGTTGAGGTCTTTCATTTTTGTTTATTATTAAATCCTGTGGATTTTTTTTTTTTTTTTTTTTTGTGCAGACATACTTGTCAGCACTCCCAACAGACTGATCTATCTTCTCAATCAGGATCCTCCAGGAATCAACCTGAGCAGGTATAATTTATCACACTTCTCATTTTGTTAATTTAACATCTGTCTTCACTCTGGACACGCCTCTTGTTTCTCAGTGTGGAGTGGCTGGTTGTGGACGAGTCCGATAAGCTGTTCGAGGACGGGAAGACGGGCTTCAGGGAGCAGCTGGCAACCATTTTTCTGGCATGTTCTAACGCCAAGGTGCGCAGGGCTTTCTTCAGCGCCACCTGCACGCCGGAGGTGGAAAAGTGGTGCCGCCTGAACCTCGACAACTTGGTTTCTGTCAACATCGGACACAGGTAGCGCTCTGCCAGTAGAACTGAATACCTCTTTGTGTTTTAACATAATAATGCTGTACAAAATGTTCAGAAATACAGCGGTGGAGACGGTGGAACAGGAGCTGCTGTTTGTCGGGGAGGAGAACGGGAAGCTTGTGGCCATGAGGGACATCATCAAAAAAGTAAGGAGCGCTTTTTTGTGTTTTTGAACCTTTTTGTT